CTATGCCATTCAATTGACGATACTCGCTTGGCTCTTCCCAGTTTACAGTAATGTTTTGCCAACATCTGCAATTTTCAGACTTATTTATCATGCGCACGCACACACACAGAGAGAAACTAACAGAGAAGACTTGGTATTTGTTTTCCCGCGACGTTAACAGCTGTGTCGGGAAAATTACACATTTCGCGGGACTGTTTTGTTCCATCGGGTGTGGTTAAACATCCACTTCGGTTTTGCAGGCAAAGTAGAAAGAGAAAATAAGAGAACCACATAATTTGTTCAAAGGTTGGAAGTCGACTATCCCGAGATGCAGCCACAAGCTGAGCAGTTCAAACTCATCGTAAGTAGCTTACAAGTTGGAAACGTCTTTGGAAGATGAGTTATGCCAAATTCCTTGTGCGCTTGTTATCGCACATCATTTCCCTCATTCCCCAGGTTATACCAAAATGCAAGCATTCAAATCTGTTGATGTACCTCCTTTAGCGGTTACAAACCCTCAGAGATATAGCTGAAGAAAATGTTTATTCTTTAATTACTTTCAGAGACATATGTATAGCGATAAAGTCTGCGAGATCAGTGTGCTGATATCATGTCGTGTATATTCCAGAGTTAATCCGTTTATTTTGTCAATCCCCAACAAGATGGTAAAGCTGTAGTCAATTAGTTTTTTCTTTCGTAAAACAAGGAGACTACCAAAAACACTGATAATGTTTGAATGTGACACTAGCTTGGGCAGTAAGAATGACAGGGGCACCCGGGCTGCAAGCGACTCAGGTCACGCACCGGCTGACTCTCTCAGCAGAACTTCACTTTTATCAGCTCTATTGAGAGAGATGAAAAACCAACTCAAAGTTGACATTTTAAGGAAGATAACATGCTGAAGTTTGGTTCTGAAGCCAAGCATGATCTTTCTCACAAGCATGTCTCTTCATCGTCTTATCCTTATAAAAGTCCACTTGCTGACTAAAGAAAATAAACCCATTATAGATGAGTACTTCATCAAACAGCGTGCAGTGGAAAAGCATTCTAACTATATCCTGAGAAAGCTACGTGATTTCAAAATATAAGGATTTATGCAAACATGGTCGCGTTAATTAAAAAAGAATGGCGAAAACAGTGCCAAAATGGCAAAGATAACTAAAGGACGCTCATGGAGCTGCCGATGTCTGGTAAATCACTGCGGTATCAATTGCCTCTGGTGCTGATGCGTGAAGAGGATTGTATAGAAACTATGAATTGATTCAAAGCATGCACAAAACGGAAACCGGTGGAGGTATTTTGACAGAAATGTGGTAAAATTAGTCAGACTATGAGCTTCAGTGAAACTTTATTGGGCTTGCTGTGGTTGGTGAAGGGAAAGATGGGTTGAGTGTAGGACACCGCATTACAGAATGAATTAAAAAGCATTTGGATTACATGAGTTTAGCGAGTTTTGTTTGTATATTGCATCTTATGTAAGTGGAAACTTCCGTACACGATATGTCTGGACACATTATTTTTTCCGTGTTGAACTAAAGAGCCTGTACGCATAATGGCTCAGTGGTTATGGTGCGAATTTACTGACCGGAAGGTCAGTGTATCGAACCCTATCTCTGCCTATCGACTTCCCTTGTCTAGGCTTGTTCAATCTGGCAGTATCCCAACCCTCGTGCTTCCTTCGGGTGGCATAGCAGCTAGGCACCTAAAGGGCGCTACAGCTGAATGATTTATGATGTTGGCTTGAAGCGCTACCAATTAATTGTCGTTGATTCTGTCTTTTGCCCCAACAGACTTTATTTGGATAACACAGCTCTAGTAAAATTCTGTCACTAACTTGGGCACTTACGAACTCAAAAAACCTACTTAGAACACCTAAAGTTAGCTAATACTCCATCATACCAATACAGAAAGCTGTGAGAAAACACTCCGTCAGAGACAAACTTTGGTATCACACGAAGAAGTTTGCCCCACAGCAAAAAAGGTCAGCGGTCAATAGGCGGAAACGGTATACTCAGAAGCCTCTGATTTGAGAGGAATGTTCTGGATTTTACAATCCATTCTAAAACATGGATTGTGTAGTTTAGAACTCTATCAAATGGGCTTCGATAGAAAACTTATTTAAACATATGGAATCTTGTTAAAAATGCTCCCCAAATGGGCTTGAAAAATAGCAAATGGGAGAATAGAGTGGGAAGTAAATGCTCACACCATCAGTGCTTACCCTCACTTTGCCAGAGTAATCGACCTCCGAACGGACTTCACCAAATTTACAATTTCGACCAGCGTGCTTTAATCCACTAGTGCAGACTAATCTGCGACGACATGTCCGTCATGATCGAATGCAGCCTATTGTCGCACTTAATGAAAACCGACTTGAAATCGAATGGCACAGTTGAACAGGATAAAAACGGGATGTCCGGATGCCAAAACATCCTGCCTTCGTTCACAAGATAAACAGAGATCACCATGACTATCAACCACCCGAACTGGTCTGTAAACAATCAGTTGGTTTGTTGTGCTTAAAGCAAATTAGCAGTAATGTTTGTTTAGAGTGCTATTTGTAGATGGCACCGGGGGTTGTACAATAATCAGGGTCATTCAACTGGCCAGTTGGTGTTATTCCGTGGGGTTTACCTACACACAGAGGCGTGCACGGACCAAGTGCATAGACGTTTGACGGAGTTTATTTACTCGCAAGGCATATAACGCAGATTGAATCCGCTTTGCCAGATTTTTCGCTGCTCGAAATGATCATCGCCATCAAATCATTCCCGTTACTGCTAGGTCCAATTGTCCATACCTAGGTATCGCTTACCCACCGATGATGTGTGAACACATCAAAGACGGGTACAGATCTGAATGTGCTGTTCAATTCACTGCTAACTTATATCTAGTCCACTATGCAAAGCCGGGCCACAGTGTTCCAGACAATGTATCAATGAACGGTGTGCGCTAGCTCAGTGTTCAAACGCCTATTTAAAGTATGGCATTTAAGGGCTAAAGTGCATAAGTTGACCACAGACTGAAATCTGAAGCTTTGTTACTCCTGAACTATGCAACCACTCACCACGTTACTTGTAACAAAAGTGTGGTGCAATTGACCCAGGATCGAAAGCAGGCCACTTGTGTCCTTGAAACAATACTACACGTGAGGATGGGGAAAACCCTCTGAGAGTCTACTACCGTGTTTGTTTTTCTAGAATCCATCAGACGAACATCGTCTCCCAATTTGCCACAAAACTGCTTTGTATTTGCACACCTTCTCTTTGAAACAGAATAAAGAAACTCAATGGCTGACGTTTACGTTGCTATGTGCACAACAATGAGAAGGTACGATTCCACGCCGGCCTCCCACATACGAAAATGATAACACAAACACACTACCTATAAGTTTGCTGAAAACTCCCTGATAGCTCCTGACTGGTTCCGCCCTTCGGTGCCCATCTCACATAGGTTTAGTCCCCTAATTTCCGTCCCAAATGAACACCAAATTGAACGCCATATATCGTTCCAGTTTTCTCCTTCATGATGTCAAGTGGTCGTTCTTTAGCTAAAATGCGCAATGTGTAGTGTTGACATCAGTAGCTAAAACTCCCAGGCTATGGAAAGCTCTCATTAGAAGGAAGTAAAATTTGACGCTAATGGAAAGACAAATACAGATTATAAAACCCCCATCTATGTTTTATTGTCAGCGTAGCAAGAGGAACGTGCTCCTGGAATGCGTAATTGAAGTCTACGGGGTGGATGGACGACTGTGTGAAAATTAGTCCGTTTAAGATTCTGACACGCCGTGATCGAAAAGGCCAGGTGGCGTTCGACCTTAGTTTTCACCACAGAAAGACTCCGTTGTGAAACATGAATTCATATGGCGAAGCTAACGTTCACTGAAACCGGACACAAACAACAGAGAAAAACTAGACGGCTTAGAAAACGTTGGTTCAGAAAAACCGAACCGGGTCTCTAATCTGTCGAATCATAAGATGGGACTCGAGCCTCGGGTGTTATCCAGTACACTCAGCCAAGCTGCACAGGTATACACCTGGCCATTATCAACGGACTCGTCCAGCTCAGTAGCATCGTAAATGCAATCGTGTATTTGTGATCTACATACGTACATGCATGTACACACACACACACGGAGGATGTCGGTGTCTGCAATTGGCCTGTTTGATGGACGTCAACACAGACAATCGTCTACAATCCGTCGGGAAGTGTGTGCTTTAGTTAGTGCCTGCACATATAGTCCTCCATGTATTTGTCCGTGAATGAAATAGTGTTGGGAAAAGGGGAATCAAGCGGAAAAAATCCGCATATGTCGTTTCTTGCGGCACATCACCTGTTTGTCATTTTTCCAGGAGGCGTGACAACCATATGTGAGACTATGTGGGATAAAATACCGAGCTGATATGGTCATTTATACGCATGGAAGGCGTGAGTAGTGGGAAACACTCTCCGGATAGAATAAACGTGTATGTTCGCGAGTGAATAAAGTAGGTGAAACATCTTAACTGATCCACTAATGCGTCAGCTGCATGCTAAAATTGAAGCGTACTCATGAGTTTCTCCATTGACGGGGCTGACTTGTCAGAAGACGGGATTCTGATAAAGAGGACGTAGATATCTGACTACGTGTCGAGCCAGAAGTGTCAGGTTGATACAGCGAATTTTTCCGTAAAAAATCTTTCTCCATTGACGGGGCTGACTTGTCAGAAGACGGGATTCTGATAAAGAGAACGTAGATATCTGACTACGTGTCGAGCCAGAAGTGTCAGGTTGATACAGCGAATTTTTCCGTAAAAAATCTTTTGTTGTATCCCAGTACGATTAACATGTACGCGCTTCGGTTCGAGATGAAACGAAAAGGACGTCTACAGCAAGCTTAGTCGTAAATTGATTCGTTGAAGATCGGAAACTCCTGAAAATGACTTGTCCTAAGAGTGAAGTATTTTTTACACTGGTAAGCAAAGGAAAATTTGATTCTGTCCTCCATAAAGTACCTCATTATGTTCGCCCATTTCCAGGTTTGGGTCGGCCCAATCATACCATTAAAGATGACCGCTATTCTAAGTCAGTGTGTATCACTCACGCCAAGTTCTTCCTCACCACGAACTAGAAATGGTAAGGAGCTGGCGGACGAGCTATGGAATCAGCACATTCTCTCTCCCCACCCGGGTACAGGTGTCTGAGAGGAAAACTCTTGGTCTTCACACCGTGAAATCAACATCTATTGTCGCTTATTAACAATATTACCTAATAACAGAAAATTTCTTTGGCTGGAGAAAGTTTCCAGTCGGTGAGTTGCGCCATTTAGTATTTCAAATTCCCGTTTAAAACGTTGTACAACCGCCTGATGCCTCAGTTACCTTCTTGTTGGTGGGCAAGCAAATATGTATGCATGTGATGAAAATGGCAAGCGAATCATCAACAGCAATCATCTCATAGGAAGTTTCATTCGATGTGACGTCAGCGGAAGGTTAAAAAATCGACAGTATTGTGAAACACGGTTTTCTCACACTCAAACTGGAACAGAATCATTAACACGGTTCAGACAGAGATATACCTACTAAATATCTATCAATCTGTCACTCAACCTATGAACATAAATTCACTTGGTGTTGTGGAGCAGCCATCGACACTTCTGTGACTGAGTCGCAATTCCACTGGCTTCTAGCCAGTCACCGATCCGGGGAGGATCAATAATTTGGTACTGTTTCAAAATCGAACGCATTGTGGTCAAGTCAGGCGAGTTAATACTGCTCATGGATCTGTCGTCCTTTTTATCTCAACATAACCAAAACCTCAAGGAAAGTATTATCATTAAAAACAAAACAGTAGGATGGAAGTTAAGAACAACTTCAAACATTGTGATTTAGTCGGCTTCTGCCTGTGGTCGATCATGGCAGTGGAATACTGGCTTCGAGGTTACATGCCAAGGCGAAAACGTGATAAACTTTCTCGAGACCATTGGTATAGGTTAGGCAGTATTTAAGTTTGAGTGTTCGTGTAGTTATGGTTATTAGTCTCTCGGGATCACACAAGAGGTTCCAAAAAGGTCAGATGTGGCAAACGGTTCTTTTGATTAATTTGCAGCAGCGGGTGCGAAGAATGTTGTGTTCAGGCCCGTGACACAAAGAAACCACGATAACGAAACAAACACATTGATCGACTATAACATTTGACGACAAGACAAATTGCTAGTCTAAGTGGAGCGCATTCTTGACAGTATTGTAATTAATTGCACAGAAGCATAAGGTCAACGGAAAAAAAGTTTAAATAGACAGCAACGTCGAAAGGATTCCGTGATTTATGGTTAGGGAAAAAGAGAGGTGGCGCATTATTTCTCCCGGAATAATTTCTGTGCACAGCTGGCGAGTTATGCAACAAATGAGTGTGGAAGGCATTCCTACTGAACCATGTAGTAAGGAGTAGAATGATACACCCAATTGCTTGATGCCTCCCCATTAACATACAAAATTCTGGCTCAAGTACTTCCCCATTTTTACAGATATACTGCTAAGTATCCACAAGAGGCTTTTTATCCCTTATATCAACGTGGCAGAAAGCTACTGCTGATACGAATATAGGATGAATTTGGCCAATCCATGTTGGCCTCCTAAGCGAGTCTCATGCTCTAAGCCTACCCACTTGTGCACTCTGATCTCCGGCAACCACAAAGATATCTGAGCTCTTAGCTCGCGATAACAGCGTATTCAAGACGCCATACAACTTGCCTTTGATTGTGTCAGAGCTACATTCAGTTGGGGCGTAAGCAGACACGACGGTGACCAGTTTCCCGCCTGTGAGACCACTTCACAGACGTTGCCAGACGAACCACACAGAGGCGACTATCAATGGGTATTCAGTCAAGAATCCTTCCGCCTAGTAACTAAGACTGGTACCAACCCCTGCACATCCTATGGATCACGAAAGGTGCACAGCCGTAAGCGGGTGGAAAGAGATAGGGTGGTTGGCTCAACTGCTGCCTCTTGAGTTCTTGTTTCTGATCTATAGAAAGAAAGTTAATACCCGGACCGTGGAGGAGGGCTGGAAGGGAAAAGTATGTGAAAGAGAATGAACGTGTCGTCAGCACTAATCTGCTACGTTTATCCGCCCTGCTGTGTGCAGCAATCAAGGCGACCCGGTCGATGGCACCACCCGATGGCTGACGAGGCATGAGAGCATTGTTAGTTTCAGGTATCATGGTTACACAGGCTGGGATACAGCTAGGACGCCCATGCCTTTCACTCAAAAGCCTGATTGCAAGGCAAAAATGCAGGCGCATTTCAATACTGGACAAATCACCACGCATATTCAACCTAGGGGGAAGGAGCCTGTGTTGGTCAGACCTGTAATCATTGGCCAACCTAGTATGAGAAACTCTAAGAGTATCATACGGACAACCCACAGTACAGCTCACAGAGTAACACAAACCGCCACACCACGGTAAGGTCCAGTCATTTCGCGGCAGCACGTTTTGTGGTGAAATGTCACTAAACCTTCTTTGTGTTCATGGTCCATAGTAGGGAACGACATACGTCTGGTCATCCATCACTCCAAAGCAACACGTAATAATAAAGGATATAATATGGAAAATTACAGATGGCATTGGGATAAGCGTCATGAATATTCTTTGTGCTCACATTATCGTTCTGTATTAACCATGCCTTCGCCTTCATTTTCAGCTTATGTACGTCTATTCTTAGACAAGTAAAGCGCTATTCATTCTACGCCATTCATTCTTGTTCTCGCGCTCAATCAGAATCGATATTCTATTCGTAACAAT